TTTCCCAGGCATCTTGTCTTCCCTCCCTCCAGTACCTGGCACCAAAAGCCTTTTGCCTCATCAAACCTGAAAAAGACACATGTTAAAAATCAAAGAGTCCGTGAACTTCTTCCTTTCCCTTAGCCGAGTCTCTGTTCAGGATTTTTAAATGCTGATGTTTCACTCTATGCTGTTTGCTTCTTTTGAGCACTTTTTTTCAGTGTTGACAATGAAGGAAAAAAAAAAAGGTTAACTAGCTGTACATGCTGTGGGCCCAAGTAAATGCTACAGCATTTGTGCAAAATGCTGCAACAGTGGGTTGGTTTTCAAAACTATTTTCCTTCTGCCATTACACCCAAACAAACACTTGCGTGGTTTGCTGGCTATGCAAGTTCTGTAGGAGCTAGTGTAAAAAATATATATATATATATATATCCTGGTCTGTATTAGAGTTAGACTAACATCCTATTGTGCTTAAAACCTCAGCCTCGTGGTTTTAAACCAGCACAGGGAAAAATATCCTGTCCCCCAGCAGCTACTGTGATAACAAGGTCCTGAATGAGGAATTACTGTACTGGGAACCTCACTACCCAGCAACAGGGCTTGGAGAGGTTGACTTAGGGAGGGAGGCCTCTAGGGCAGCATGAGGGGCACCTGTATGTACTCCAGCACGCATCCTATGTTCTATTCTGGCCCACAGACACACAGAGAGTCTAAAACTGGGGTGGCACAGCTTCTAAGAGTGAGACCTCTCTCCCCAGTACCCACTCAGCCCATTCCTAGCTCTTGAGAAGTGAGGTAACCAGAAGGGCCCAGACTGGCCACAGTTTCCATCTGGTTTTGGAGTCAAGGCTCTGTCAGGGTGCCTGCAACTGAGGAGCCTGGGGAGGCTGCCTTAGAACTGTTACACCCTTAGCTGTTGGTGTAAACTGCAACCCTCTGGAGAACCTTCAGACAGCTGGTTATAGCCGTTCTCCCCTGAAGGACAGTCATGGTCAAGCTCCCATGCAGTGCCTGGCCCATAGCTATTAGCAATGTCATGTGCATACTGAAGCATCCTTACTTGAGAGCCTGGGTGTAGTTGAAGAGTGGTGTCACCCCCAAGAACTTCTGGATGCTGTCCATGATGGAGGCAGGGTTGTGCCGGAGCTCCTGGCCATCCACAATCAGAATCTGAAAGGAGACCCTCCATGAGCTTCCTGGGTGAGTCTGTCAGTTTCTGTCATGCACCCAGAGAAGGAGCGTCTCTGGGGTTGGGCTTTCGTGAAGGAGCGCTGTGCAATCAGATGCCTAGAACAATTGCAGACCTTGGCTCAAGAGCCTGTTGCTTCCTCTTTTTTTTTTTTTTTTTAAAACATGCTGCTCTCCACAGTGTTACAATTCCTTTTCCTCCTTTGAGCATGGCCAACAAACACTGGCTTTTTGTCACAAGAAGCACTATTTCATTGGAAATTGCTCACAAGGAATAACTTGGGGGTGAGCTCTGGGGAGCTGAGGCCTAGGGTCATGTAGGAGATGCTAAAACAGGGGTGGGCAAAATCTGGCCTACAAACCATTCTACCTGGCCCGCAGGGCCCCTAAAAATTTAGAAAGTTAACATTTATGTTCCTGGCTGCTTGTCAAACTCTACAGGAGCCAGGAGCAGTAGGACCCAGGGGAAGCCAGTGGCAGAGCCCTGTAGTCCAGCAGCAAGGCCCGCCTGACCCCCCCGCCAACCAGAAGCCCTGTGCCTACCAGAGGCTTCTGGCCTGGGCCCCTGTTCCCGCCTCCCTGTGCCAGAGGAAAATTCAGATAAGAAGCCCTGGGGGAAATGGCAGCTACAGGTGAGGGTGAGTGGCAGCGAGCGGGAGTGCAGGGCCCGCGCTGGTACCCCAGGGCCAGGAGCAGGGGGGGGAGGTGCAGGGAGGGCGGGACAGAGTGTGGGTTCATAGGATGAGTCCCACATGCACACCCCACCATACGCATGTATCCCTCACACTGCCATACTTGCAGAGTGCCACACCCACACCCCCTCACATACCTCAGCCACCCTTTCCCCCACAAACCCCATACCCACCCACACCTCACATATCCACACGCACATGCTCCCTCACCCCTACCTACACCACCCATGCTCTCCCCCCATAATATACAAGAGTAAGACTTCATTTAAGCTATTGTGCAGTCACCTCTGTGTACACTACACAAACGCATGTAAATCAGGACAAAAATATTTTTTGAAATCAAATTAATGAATGTTTTAGATGTTTGCTTTTTAGACTATAAATTTGGGTTTTTTTTTTCTGGTTCTGAGATGGCAAAAGCCCTTGTTGAAAGAAGTACTTCCAGGGGCAAGGGGAGGGACTTTTGGTGGCAAAGGTCAGAGGTTAGGGGATGAGACTTCCAGTCATAAGATAGGAACCAAGGTGTAGGGCACCTGTCAAGGGATGGGGCTACCCATGTGGTGCTCAACAGCTTGCCAAAACTCGGTAAGCGGCCCTCCGCCCAAAATAATTGCCTGCCCTTATGTTAGAAGCTGCTGGCCACAGATGGTACACCAGGCATACTGGAGTGAGGCAGTTCATCTCTTCAGCTGAGCTTAGCAGCTCCTTCTCTCAACCTCAGAATGGAAAGGCTCCTTTTCTTGTCCTGGTCTCAGACTGGCATATTGGAGAGGAAGTGAGGAAGCAGTGTTTAGAGGGGGTGGGGGATGACATGGCCTCTCTGTGGCAGATTTCCAGACATCAACCAATATAAATACCATTGAACAATTTGTAGAGTCCTTTCCTATGCAATTAGTTTGCTAAAACAAAGCTCAGTAAGAAAGAGTGACAGGGAAATATCCCTTTTTTGTATAAAGTCACTGCATCATTACAGTATTTTTGGTGCCTTTTGCAATGCAGAATTCTTCCTCCTAAAAACTGGTTTTCTTAAATGAATGCTGCTGACAAGCTCTTATAACCCCTTTTCCATCACCCCCACAAAACCCTCTTACTGCCAAACCCATGCGAGCTGACTGCCTGGGAGTATAGGTTGAAACCAGAATGTTGTTTTCATTCAGTCTGGTTAAACCACTCCATTAACAATGAGGAGGCAAGCTGAAGCATACATCTATTGACAGTTCTCCTGTTCCTTCCCATAATTCCTCTTGTGCACCCAGAAGAACAGCCAGGCTTGCTCATGGTTCACTGAGTTATGCAAAAGCAGCATAGGATGCACCTCCAGACATCTTAGTGACAAACCTAAGTGAAGTTTCAGGCAGGCTGCAGTGGCTTGAGCAAAAAGAGAAGGGTCAGAGGGGACTTGGTAGCAGCTTACCACTACATCAGGGGAGTACATAAAGGGCTCAGTGAACAACTGTTCACCAGGACACCAGAGGGGAAAATTAGGAGCAATGGTCACAAACTCCTGGAAGACTGTTTCAGGCTCAACATTAGGAAAAACTACTTCAAAACTAGGGTGGGTGTCCAGACTGTGGAATAAGCTCCCTCCAGTGGTACAAACGCCTACCCTGGAAATCTTCAAGAGGAGACTGGACAGTCATCTTGCTATGTCACCTGACCCCAGGTAGGCTCTATAGTGTGACTGTTCAAAGCTGGGTTAGGCCAACCTGGATGCTGATCTTACTATGCAACTCTGCAGTGAAGTCATGCCCCCAGAGTCTTATTCTAACCAGCCTTAGTCTTTGCCCTGCGCATCAGCTAAAGAAGCCTGGCCAGCGAACTTTGCCACGATCAGGAGAGCTCCCTAGTTCCACCTTTTCAGAGCACTTTAAGTTTTTGTGATGAGCTCAGCTGAAAAGTTTTCAGTGTAATTAACAGCTGTTTCTGATTCATCCTTCCTGCCATTATTTTAAAGTCTTGTCACTGGATAATACTAAGGGGATAGTGCTCTCTCTCTCTCTCTCCCTCCTGTGTCATTGGTACTAAATGGCCAGCTATTAAATGAGACAGATGCATGCTCAGCCATGTGATGACATACTTCAGATTGATGTGGATCCCTGCTGACGCCCCCAGTTCTGAACACAGAAGCAAGTGCAGTCTGGTTTCCTGTAGCTGCTGCTGCCACTTTTAAGTTAGGGGGGGGGAGGGCATAGTTAATCTATAATTTCTACCAGGGTTCCCAATCATACATGCAGGTTGTGGAGGAAGGGATGCAACCTGCTGACCTCTAGCTGCACCACATGCTGCCTGGGCAGAGCTGACATCAGCTGCTCTTGCTCTCTGTGGCTGCACCACGATTGGTTTGCTCTTGTCAGAGTTGCATTCTGCTGCCCACATAGGACAGGAGGCACTTGTTCTGCTCTAACAGCCACCACCAACACAGATCTCTGTTTTGCTGCACTCTCTCCTCCTGTTCTATGGCATGGCTGTGTGCAAGAGATAACAGATCCACCAGCTAGAGTCAGTTATTGCTTCTGCAGAGAACAAGGGCCAAAGGTGCCTGACGGGAGGCTGTGGGTGTGTGAGCTCCCCAAGAACAATTCTGTCAACAGAGGCTGAGTCCTGGGCAATCAACATTTATGGTGAGCAGAAAACTGAGGTTGCTAAGATAGTCTCTGACTCGAGCACACAGGATAGTTAAACCTCTTGTTCTAATGAAGGTGGCTTCATGGACTGAAATGATCTGCATTTTATGTTAATTATCTTCAGGAAACTGATAAACAGAACGCTTGCATGCTAGGTAGGCCAGGGACAACAGACTCGTCTGCAATAAAATGCACCCTGAGCAGAGTTACTTGAAGCTAGGAGCAACTATGACAAGCAGCAGATCCCAAGGCCTCCCTTTAGAGCCCTGCAAAGCATGGCAGGCAGCTGCATGACCCCTGAGTCCCGGGGATGCACACTGCATTGCTACTGCTGAACATGAGTCCTTTGTGTGTCTCCACACAGTGCAGTACTGCAGGGGTGCTCATAGCCACCTACACCAGGAGTGTCAAGCATGACCCATGGAGCCCTGGTGCTGCCCCTTTTGCAATGCCAGACCGCCCCCCACCCCATGCAATGTCCAAGGCATGGGCCACCTGTGGCACTTGCTGTAGTCAGTTCCAGGCTGCACTGCCCACACTGCTTGCTGCCTATGTCTCCGGATGTTGCAGGAGGCGCAGCCCAGGACCCGAACCCAATGAGTGGCGTGGGTGGCACAGTCCAGGACTGGTCCAGCAGGGCAGCCTGGCAGGGCCAGGTCTCAGACTGTACTGCTTGCCAGGGACAGTCCTGGGCTTCAGTGCTTACTGAAGCTGGTGCCCTGGACCAGCTTGGGCAGTTGCTGCTTGCAATGGATCAGGCATGCAGGCAGAGGCATGGGGAGTAGATCCATGGGCCTGATCTGACCTGTGGACCGGCCCTGCACCATTCATCTGGCCTGTGGAACTTGTCACCCTGCTCTAGACACTGACGCTGACTCTACTGCCTGCAGATGCTGGATCCCAGCTGAAATTCTGAAATGTGTGGGGACAGGATATGCCGAAGTGTCCAAGCTCAACCCTTATCGAGTCACACGGGAGGGCAGGAAGCAGCGGAATAAGCTATGAGGTGAAGTGAAAGCAGGATGAGAGGGACTACATAGCCCTTGGCTCTGCGGTCACCGTGCTGGGCTCCAAGAAGCCAGGCCACTCTCTTGCCCTCCTCCCCCTCTGGCACAAGGGCCTTCTGTCACTCCTGAGAGTGGCTGGTTTCCATGCAACACTGTTCACTGACCCCAACCACCCTTTTGCTACAGGTGGTAGCACTCATACCTGCCCTGGGGGATAGTATGTCAGCCAGCGCTCTAGGTGTGTTGAGTACCATCCAGGGAGCAGGCATCGGCCCTGCAGATTACGCAGCTCCTGAAGGGCCTGGGCTTTCGCAGAGATCACTTGGTAGAAGGTGTAGTTGAGTGCCACAGGGTCATTGTGAGCGCGCTGGTGCTGGGGAACACATGCACATGGTTAGTAGACAGGGACACAGGATTCTGCCTCTCCCTGAACAAACACATCACTATACACCCAACTGGCTCCTAGCACAGACACACAAAGTCCCTGGTAAACATCAAACTCTCTGCTGTCCAAAATTAAGATCAATTTGGCCCTCCCTCCTTGCAGAAATCAGTGTACCCCCTCTCCCCCACTAGAACACATGTGCAGCCCAGCCCAGCAGAGGGGAGGTACCTGGTACCAGGAGTAGGCTCGGTCGGCAGGGTTGATCAGGACAGAGATGATTTTGGCTCGTGGGAGCAGGGCTGCGCCACGCTTTGGTACCACCTCTGTGTCAAAGTAGTTGGCACTTTTCTCAAACATGAAGTCTGTGCTGGCATTGGAGGGGATGGGAAAGAATTCCATGTACCTGCCAAACAAAGCATACGAGGAGAATGAGATGGAATGGGGTGAGGGGGAGGATGACCCAGCAGGAAACAAGTATGTGGCCCATTCGCCGCCTCAGGGCTCCACACTGTACCTGGCACTCACAACACCAGCACCAGCCACACAGGAGCTTGGTGTGAACAGGCACATGGAGTCAGAGAGGGGCTGACTTGGAATGGGGGTACTGCCAACAGCATCTGGGTCCTGACATCAGGTGGGGAACATAAAGGGCTAAGACAGCATTTTCTTATTTGTGGGGCACACCCTCTTGGGTGGTGGATAGGAGTAGCTGGAGGTTCCAAGTAAGACACTTGCTCCTGGAGTTTCAAAGAAAACCCTGTAAGTGAAAGATACTCCAAGAGTTTCACACTCACCTGGGACTTAAGAAAATCAGATTCAAATTCCTGTACTGCTGTGGACTTCCTGTCTGATCCTGAGTAAGTCACTTAACCTCTGTGCAGTGGGGATAATAGTAGGGGCCCACCTCACAGGAAAGCAACTACAACAAAGGTTGTGAGGTTCTCAGACCTTAAAGGCCTATCTGTACACAAACCCCCTGAACTTGAGCACAGCAATGCTTTTTAACAAGCTGCCTGGCTCATGCGGGGGTGGGGGGGGGGCATGACATAAGCTAAAAAACCCAAGTGAGGACAACTTGGTAGGTGCTAACATAACCCCTCTGCAGCCTGGAGGCAGGCCAGCCTCACTCAAGTGCTGCTAGTCATAGTCCTCCAGTACCTTCACACAATTGCCCTTTGCCCTTGGCAGTATGGCTGTGAGCTGATTCTCCTAGTGGGCCACTAGGGCGTCCCAAAATTTCCTAGGTGCCCAAAAAGGTAAGGCAAATGCTTCCAAAATTCACCAGGGAAGATTTCATGGAGCAGCTTGGCTTAGTGTAGCCCAAGGAGCCATGAGAGATGTCCACAGCAGTTACAGTCACACATGAATTAATGCTGTTTGGACACAATGGCGCTGGTTTCTTTTTCTTTCTACAATAAAGACAGACCTGCAGAGGGAGGTCTGCATTGGAAAGGTGCTAGTTTAATGATACTGCTACAGTGTCAGTGGTATAAACCCCACATAGAGACACTTACTGTTACACCAGCGATGGTCCTTATGCTCACATGGACACACAGACACCCTGGCCACGTGCAAGTGATGCAATGGCATCTACCTGAGTTGGTAAAGTGCCTACACAAGAGCACCCAGGTGTCAGGTGCCCCATACACACCTAACTATTCTGTAGCTTATCAAAGCACATAATGGAAGTGTCCCATATTATGGAGATCTCTCCAATGTGCCCTGAGTGAGCAGATCACCTAACACCACATGGCAGGGCTGGAGGGACAGGAGCAGTTCCATTTTCCCGAAGGAAAGGGTGCCAAACTTTAAAAATTTAGGCGAAGTTGAGCTATGGGCAGATGTGATTACAGACTACACTGCCAGGACCCAGTGCCTTGATGGGGTGGGGGCTGGAGAAAAATGGAGAGAAGTTTCCTGTGAGGATGTGAGTGGAGCACCTTGAGATGAACCCCAATGGGCAGAAATGGGAGAGCAAAAGGCTGAGGTGGATGGAGCAGAGAATAACTGGGAAGGGGACATGACTGCAGGAGTACAGTAGCTCATACACTGACCAGTCAATTCCTTTGTGATAGTTGGGTCCATTGAAAAACTGGATCTCTTCAAAGGTGGATGGACTGGGAAAATTACTGGTGACAGCAGGGTGCATGGTCAAGAAGAAGTGCACAGCTGTGGTGCCTGCAAGAAGAAGTGATGGTTAATGGACGCTGCATTGTTCTGAGGACTAGGAAATATGGGTATTTCTACACAGCAAAAAGCCCCCACGTAGCTGTGTGCTGGATGGAGCTTGGAGTCCCAGAGTTAGATACTGTAATTCATGTTAAAATAGCTCTGGAGACGGTCACTCAGCATTATCTCAAGCATGCAGCTTTAGTCAACAGGGGAGCCTGGGGAAGAACTCAGGCTGCCAATCAGAGTTAAACCCATGGCACCGTGTCTCCACAGCTATTGAACCTGATTCTAGTTAGCCTGTGTTTTTTCGCAGCCCAAACATCACCTTAGGGTGGGCAGAAGCATTGTCAATGCTGGCACAGGGGCAGGAGTCCAGACTGCTGTGGGCGTGGGTGAGAGTTGGTGTCAGTCGCTAGCTCTCTGTGGCCTGGCCTAGCTGGGTTAAGGATGGCCCTGGTCAGCACTGAAAGGTGAACTGCTCCAGCATGTGGGGGACACACTGCCAAGGCTGCAGGCAGATCAGAAGAGCTTCACAATGGTACGTGGGTAGAAGGCAACAGCTTGGCTGCAAGAACTGCTTCCTGTGGGGTGGAGACCCCTGTTCTATCCAACTGACTGGCATCTGTTGTTTAAGTGCCCTGCACAGACAGGTCAGGGCTCTTGAACTGTTCTCACTGAAGAGGCTTTGTCAGTGGGTAGAACTGGCTCCTTGGCTCAAGAACTACATGCCAGGTCACTGCCCACACATGCAATGACCAGGAGAGTGCCAGTGATATTGATGGCCTCATCAGAGCCCAGATGGGCACAAGAAAGGCACCAAGTGGGCACCCAGTATTACCTCTTCTAAGCTCTTCTGAGTATAGACATAGGTAGCACTCGTAGCCCTATCAAACGACACTGATACAAGCTCTTACAATACAAATATTACCTCTGACTGATTCTACAGGAGTACTACTGTAGCAAAACTATTCCATCTTGAACCCTATTTAATTCATGGTCAAAATTGGAACAGTTCAACTCACTTCTAACTTATAAGGTATGTATATCCGTAGAAGCTGTACTGGCCCAGGTCTCAGCTCTAGGCCAGGTACTGCCTGGGACTGATCTTTAATGGATTATTCAAATTACCAGTTTTTTGAGGTCCAACGATGAGGAACTTGGGGAGCCGATCACATGTTTTCTCTTTGGACCAGATGTCCTTGTGCCTCTTATCATCACAGGGATTCTGCAGGATAGTGAGCAAAATTTGGTGTTACCAATGGAGCTGATGCCAAAAGGAGCAGTGGATATAGAGGGCCTTCAAGGGACTCTTATGTAATACATGGGGAATATTCCATAGTCACATCACTACTTCACTCAGCACCAAGAAGACATGAATAAAGATGCTGGAAAACACTTTCAAAAGCTCCTACATGAGTTAGGAGTCTGAGCTCCTTTTGCAACCTTTACTGGTGCCCTTGCCCTATACAACCAAGCCTACACAACCTAGTACCATCGCTGCTGGGCTGAGAAGCATTTCCTTCTACACCATGATGTTAAAACACAGCAGCTGTGAAGTCCTGGCAGACAGACAACTCTATCACCTTCAGCTAATTTTATCTGCTCATTAACATGCACAGAACTGCTGTGCTGGGATGAAATGGAATAAGCATGTTTTTATTTAACCAACATGAATTCTGTGGTGTGAAATTACTTCCAGATTAATCACACTAATATGTCTGCAAGCTTTTCCAGCATCAGTCCTGCCCCATGTGCTTACCTTTCACGCTAGCTTGCTGTAACTACACTGGGACCCTCAGCTACCCCTGTGGCTGCAGAATGTGCCAGGCCAATAACTTCTAACAGCTTCCTTTGTCCCTTCAGCTTACGCCAGGAACAGAGCCCACTGCAGCCTTGCCCCCCTCCCCTCTCACTCCACGGCTGTGTGTGCTGGAGTAGTATCACTATGAAAATCTCTCTTTCCCCATGTGCTGCCCTAACTTAGTGTAGGACATGCTTCCTAAAAAGATCCCAACCTGCCTCACCTGCCACAGTGGGTTCTTTTCCTGGGGAAAGATCTCAAAGTACTTCTTGGCCAGCTGGATTGGGGGCAGAGTCTGCAAGCGAAGGTTGGTCCAGCACTGTACAAATTTGACCAGGCTCTCAAAGGTGTACAGCCCCAGCCGGTCATTCCCATAGTTGGACAGGTGGGTCATGAAGATGCTGATCTGCAGG